AGTGTGATTATTGACCTAAAGTATACTGATCACAATACTTAAACTACTTTATTGAGATGAAAACACGCTGTTATCTTCTTATCCAAGTTTCGAAGTTATATAACTAGCAATATTAACTGAATTCTCGTCGTGCAATATAGAGACATGATTACTTTCTATCATCTTGTTATATACTTTTCCATCGCATTGAACTTGCTGTCCGTAGTCATTGCCTAGAGCCATTGCTATTTCATCCCTGTCTGATGCTGTTATCATATATATGTCTCCGTCAAATTTTGATGATGGTACATAATCATAGGCAATTTTGTTTAAATTAATAAACGAATTAGTAACCCATGTTAAAAATTTTCGCTCACTATTAGGATGTTCCTTCATAATTAACGATGCAATATGAATAATTTTCTGTTCAAGCGACGTTAAACTAATCAATTCATCGACAAGAGTATCGTGATAGATATTAGAAATGTAAGCTTGAATAAAATAAAATAGCATTTCAGAATAGTATACGTTATCGTCAGTAAGCTCTTTTCGATATCGCTCTCTATAAATCTTCAAACGATCACTCGTAGAGCAATATGATCCTTCAATCATAAATAACACTTCTACATTGTCATTCGATTCTCGTTGTAGCTGAATCGCTAACTCGTAAGCGATCATACAGCCATAAGAATATCCACATAAACGATAAGGACCTTTTTCTTGCTTCTCTCTGATTTTATCTAAATAAAATCTAGCTAAGATTTCTGTATTATCCATGGGTGCTTCAGGCGATAATTGAATACCGTAAACGGGTATAGCTAGTTTACTTGCGATATCTGTAAATCGTTGGACAGATCCTTCTATCGGATGGAACATATACATTGGCCTAACTTTAGATGTAACTGTATTTAATGAAATCAGTGTATCGTATTGTAAAGGCGCTTTGATCGGAAATCCGTCAAACTGCATAGCAGTTATCGTTTGTAATCTCGATTCTATATTATTTGCGCTGTGATCGTTTGATGTCATCGACGAACTGATTTCTTTGAGTTTATCAATCGTAAGCTGTCTAACTTCATCGATAGACATCGATAGTTTACAATCTCTTTCTATTAGTAGTCTAATTTCAACACCCATTAATGAATCTAATCCAAGATCGGATAGAGACGAATTTTCATTAATAGTCGTGAAATCCTTAACTCCTAATATATTGCCGATACTATTTAACAGATCAAATGATGAAATCTGATTATCGCTGCTAAAGTTATTTCCACGATTTGCTTGTATAAAAGTAGAAACTACTGGATGCTTATTAAACAGCAAATGTTTCCATAACTTTAAACAAGAAATTAT